TCTTCCTGCCCCACCCTCCCACTGCATACTTCCTTGTGAATGTTTCTTAAAGATTTAGATTTCTTATAAGATAAACTTGACATTTCAAACCAACATTAAAAGTATATCATTAGTTACATTTCCTTTATAAAATTACCCTATGGCCTACAAGGATTGAATCCACCATTGGGTTCATTAGTATGGGGCCATCTACAGTAGTTCTACTAATGGATGCTTGCATCGTCAAAAAACAAAAAAAAATCTTTGTCAGAGTTAAAACTAATATAGGAAGCAATAGAAACATATGCTTTTTTAAGGGAATAGATTATTTTTGTGCCAAGCCTTACCCATGGCATACCTACATCCATTTTACACAAAGCGGATTTTGACTCATTTGTAGTAAAAAGGCCAAAAAGGATTTTTCTCCTGATACTTTTGTTCAGTAACATGATGGCTATCCCAGCTTAAGGGAAGTTAGTGTCTCATCACTCCTTTCCTTTTGTCCTCAATGGCCTCTCCAGTTAAACTGTAAGCTGCTTGAGGTCAGAGCCTATACCATACTCATTCATGTGTCTGTCATCATCATTTCAATTCTTGCCCTGTACTAAGTCCTCAATAAATGGAGGCTGAGTTGCACTCCAAAGAAATTAGGTCATGGGCACCTAACCGAAGTAGTCCTCCTTTCAGCCAAATCTGCATTTTAGTGTGTCGAAAGAAGGCCAATTCCTAAGACAAGGTTTCCAACTCCTCAGCTTTTGGACCAACCACCAAGCAGTCCAAGATCACAGAGTCTCCTAACTTCCATCAACCCAGGCACATTTAGATAATACATTGTAGTTCCAGATAATGTAACTGATATATCAATATACACCACCATGTTATTCTTTCTGGATGAAAAGGCACTGATGAGCCACCATCACCAAGAATACATTTGAAAGCTTATTTTTTACCCAGTAATGATGAGGGGTTCCCATTGATTTAGTCATTCACTTTCATCGATCCCTCTGGCCGTCATGAAGAGAAAGCTAAAAGTGTCAGGATTTTCATCTATAGACTTGGAACTTTGTGAGGCAAATTTATCTTCCCTGGCCACCTGAGCTAGTCACAGTCTAAGGAGACAGAAATTTAAAAATAAATATATAAACACATGGATGCACAAACTTTCTCTGTAGTGACATAAAGATTGAATCAGCATAGAGATGAAATTATAAGGAACTATAAGTTCATTTCCACTGTTCTGTTTACAGAAACCAAAATCTGATTTTTAGGAATATTTTTCAGTCAACTATCTATAAAAATTAAAATGGAAGTGTTGGTGGCATAATGTTACCATGAAAGAAACTTATAGTGTATGAATGAGTAATTTATACTGAATGATGTACAAAAGTTTTAAAAGCTTTTTAGGTGGGCTAGTTACAGTTGAATTTTAAAAATATTTCCCATGCTTTAACCTGAAGGTAGGAGTAAACAGAAAAGCCTGGTTACTTTTATAATAATGGTTGCAAGACTAAGCATTGAGATGGTCCCTGAGGAAAAACAGACCTTTTATTTTTTTTCATTTTCAGGTTTTTTTTTTAATACTAAAACTGATCTCTCCCTTCTTGCCATCATAAAATAAAATAGGGGGAAAATCTGGTTTTTATTTTATAGAAAGATACAGCATGGAGTCAGGAGATTTGGATTCTAATTCTTTTTCTATTAACTGCTTTGAAACATTGGGCAAGTCATTAGTAAAATGCTGGAAATGTATCACTGTCCATATTCTCTAATCAATATCTGAATTCTGTGATTCCTTCTACTGAGAATGCCAAGAGTTCCATTTGTAGCTAAATGAATAAAAGTGTATTTTACACAATTAGTTGCATGTAAAATCACAATTTAAATGTTTCTTTCTTTTAGGAATTTTAATTATACATTAAAGTTGATTTATGAGAGTATCACTTTGATAGCATTGTTGTAAAACTTTGGTTGAATCATCATGCTACTTTTGAAATGTTTCATTTTGCATATTCCCTCTTTGAGAATGGTTTTTGCTAAATATTCCTCCCTTTATAGAATGCAAGATAGAAAGCAAAATCATTATGCACATTTATGTCATAATTTGATATTTACAAGTGCAATTTGGGGTTATTTGAATTCATAAAATTTGCATTTTATAATATAGAGACTCTTGTGAATTTGTAAATAAAAATGCAAATACCCATATAAATGTAATAATATATCCAGCAACATAAATAAAAATATGAAAAATATATATTAAACTATGAAAATATTTTATGTGGTTATCCCTTGACTGAATCATCTTGCCTTTGTAAAACACTAAATGGCTGGCTCATTATCTAATATTATAATTTTAGGTATGTGTCAGTATGTGTGCTTTGTTTCTTTCAAGGTTTTGTTTTAAATTTATCTAGAATTTTATTTAGTTCAATTTGTTATTTTGATTATATAAAATAGTTTGCCAGTGATCCCTAGATTTTACTGAATAAAATCAGTGAAACACTTTGTAAGAAAAACATATTTTTATTGCCATAATTAAGGAGGCATTTCTTAAAATTGAAGTTGGAAATCGGCTATTATCCAAAATACCAAAATAGTAGAACTTCTAACTATTTATTAATAGTTGCTTGCACTTGATTAAAGAATTTAAGCCAGTATCTGTAGGTTTTAATCTTTTCTCTCTCTGTCTCCCTTCTTGTTGCTTTCTCTTTCTCAGCCCTTCTCTCTCTTCATCACACACAAGGCAAAAAATGGCTTCACATGGGACATTCAACTAATGGTGACTTGTTGGTGGAATAATCTGTAACATTTCCATAATTTTTAATTTCTGTTTACCAATTTTTAATTTATCTTTAACACTGCAAACATTTAATTTAGACCCATTCTCTAGGTGGCATATAATTATGAGCATTATAAGGTGCAGCTTAACAGTACTAAAAGGTATGCCATTCTAATACTGGTGGGCTTTGTCTCCTCATGTGTTATATTTAACTGTTTTGCATATTCTTCCTTACTAATGATAATTACATTAAATCCAGACTGATCTTCTTGAGTTTCAGTTCACCAAGAATTCTGAAAAGAAATTCCTGCCATAATTTATGGCCAGCTAATTATTTGTATTCTCATAGATAATTCTGAGACCATTTTACTATTTTTATGTTAATTAGAAATTACATTAGCATATACTGACTTGAATTTGTCATTAACATAATTACAGGCAATAACTGATCAAGTCAGCATTGCCCCTTGCTTTCAAATGGAATGTATCTTTTCCAGTACAGACTCATCATTGTTGGACATACTGTACATACTAATCACTCCACTGTTACCCAAAGGGTAAATGTATTTAGGGAAAAAAATTAAATGATCTTTTGATTCAGCTTCTGACTTATCTACTATCTACATGACGTGGCCACATGAGAATATTTGCAGTAACTTCAAGCTTAAATACATAGTTTTGAACATTCTTCTCAGTCAAGCTCTGAATTTAACTAACTAAAATTTTCAAATTTAGTAAGCCAACAATAAAGTCATTATTCATAGCCCCTCCTGACTTTTGATGCAGCTGTCCACATTTACTTAACACCACTTCTTGTCAGTGGCTTGCTCAGTGCCTTTCTGTCTACACAAGAAAAGAGAAATAAAAGCTCGGATACAATTTGAATTAAAACAAGACAAGGCCAAAAAAATTCTTGACATTGAGAAGGTGAGATTTTAAGGCAATTCTCACAAAGCAAATTGCGTAGATAATTGACTAACTTTTCCTTTCCATTTCTTGTGTAGGCAGAGACTTGCTCCTTTAAGGTGAGGAAGCATGCATCTTCTTTCTCCACCAACTGCAAAGAGCAAGAATGACAATTTAATTCGCATTCCCCTGAAATTATTGATAGTAATAACAACACCAGGAAATTTATATTCATACATTACCTACTTAAATGAAGCACCTTTTAAAGTTTCTAACATTTATTTCTGGGTATTCTTATCTATTGCTTAGAACGCAAGCCCTGTGAACCAAGAGTTCTATAGAATAAAATATAATGTTAAAATTAATACATTTTATCACTTCCTTAAAAATTAAATCATAAATTGTGTGGGGTAGTTTTGTTTGTAAAATTTCAATGCATGGGTAATAGGGAGTAGAAGTTTAGCATTTAAATGATCTCTCTTGGTGTTCACTCTTTTCCCCATCTCCGTTGCTCAGATTCATTCAGTGAACACAATTCCCTATTTTCTCTCAAACCAACTAGAAATACTCTTCTGAGACAGTAAACATGTTTCAGAAATAAAGACTGTTGCCCTAAGAAAACTTCTACAGAAATACTGTCTGGATGCTAAGATACTACACAACACCCGAAGCACACAGATAGTGTCGGAGCGTCTTGGTACAACGTTCTCTAATCCTTCTACATCCCTCTCTTTAGCCACTACACCTAAAGAAAAATAAGAGCTTTGGCTTATTGCAATTTTGAAGAAGATTTTAAAGGCTAAGTTTGGTGCTACTGTCATCTCCTTCAAGAAAAAGCCTCTAATCCTCAAGAGTTGCTGAGCTTTTCACAGTGTTGTTGCTGAAGGAGATTCACTGCCCAGTCAGGTGCTGCGTTCTTAACATGGAACTAAGATCAGTTCAGAGGAACAGGTAAAACAGGGGTGTTCCCTGTACTCAGCTAAGATACCTCAAAATGTATGGAACAAATCTAGGCAGTGTAAATAGTTCTGCGCTTTAAAACAACAATAACACAAAAAGTTTGGTCACAACAGCTTTGTTTTCTTGTCTTTCTTTTTCATGCTGGATCATCCCCTAAACAGCCCAGGTGCAGAGAAACGCACAAAGTAACTGTACAGAAGCCAGGATCACAGCGTGTCTGTGTCAATTTCCTGAGGTGAATGTCAGAAAAGCTGGAGAGGCACCACCATGTCGAGGGAATGAGGTCAGAATTCACTGAGCACTGTTCACTCGGGAAGGAACACAGCGGGACAGCGGGGATCGCAAGCCAGGCTTTGGAAAAGGAGGGAAGGTGGGTCAGGGCGGACTTTGTGGAGAAGGCTTTGTCAGCGCGAGAGGGTGAAGGGTGACAGACAGGGGCGTTTGCGCACTGACAGAAGGGAGAAAAGCGGGGACAGTGAGGGCAGAGATGACCCTGTTTGGGGTGACAGGAGAGTCGGGGCCATCCACTGCTGCTGCCAGTGTGGGAGTCTCGGAGCTGGAAGGTAAGGCGGGACCGCGAGCTGCAGGCAGCTGTCCCCAAGAGGGAGAGGGTTTCAGGTTGCCAGCAGGTGGAGTTGAAATAAACATCTCTTTGGGGATCACGGAGCAGTACCCTCCCTAGACCCTCTGCCTGGAGGCTGGAGGATCACAGCAGGTGGTTTGGGATGCCTTAGGAATCAAAAGATGTTCTCTCCGCGACATGCCTTGGCATCCGACCCCCTGAGCTCTCCCGGCTACTCACCGGTCCTGGGGGAGAAAGCGCCATCCGGGGCGCGCGCTGGGGCTGCGCGGCGCAGGCGGCAGGCAGGGCCGTGCGGCGGTGGCGGCGCGGTCCTAAGAGCGGGACTCGAGCTGGCGAAAACGGAGGCGGCGAAAGCGGCGGCGGGGGCGCAGGGAGCTGCGGGCGGGGAGAGCGGTGGATCCAGAGCTGCTGCGCCGCGCGCGCTCTCTGCCCATCTCCAGCTCCGCTGAAGCGGCTACTGCTACCGCCGCTAGAAGGGAGGGAGGCGAGGGGGAGGGGAGGAGGCACGCGGTAGGGAGGGACGGAAGAGCAGGGAGGATGGGGGCGAGCGAGGGGAGAGGGGGAGATGATCACCCCGAGTCGGGAGGAGGAGGGAGGCGCACAGGAGCCCAGCAAAGGTTCGCACTAGACGAGCTGGGGAGGAGAAATCGAAGACGAGGCGATGGGTCTGTCCCCCAACCCCCACCTTCTCTACCCTTCTTCCCCCTTCGCGCCTTTCCTTGGGCTCTTCCTCTTGTGGTTCAGGCTAGGGGTTACCCATGCTCTTCAACAGCCGCAGCTTCCGGGCGCTGGTGAGAGCGGAGAGCCGGGAAGCGGCCGCGACAGCCCTCCACGCCACCCGCCCATGGCACCTGTGCGCGCACACACCGCCGCCCGCTCCATTGCGGCGGTGCCGGACCGGGATCCACAGCCTGTCGCCCTCCCTTTCTCCCCTTTCTGGTCAGATTTTGATCCTGTATGTGCATCCGTGACATCTGTGTGGTCCCCCATTGCTGTTTGTTTCCCTGGGCGCTCTTTGGCACCGCCTGTCCCGCCAGAAGGCGCCAGCAGGGAGCTCAATGCAGGCAACCATCGCCTGTCCCTTGGAGCTGCTGCCTGGGCCGGGGTGGCGATGTTTGTTTGCCACCGGGGTTGACCAGCTAACGAGGTAAAAAAATACAATTTGACCGGACTGCCTTGGATCATGGTCTCTTTGATCTAGGAAGGTTGGAGGAGCGAAGGGCACAGTGACAGTCCATTACCTTCTGTCTCGGTTCCCTTCCTCCCTTCTCTCAACATCCTAAAACCCCAGGGCACGACTTAGCACATTTAATCAAAATGTTTCTGGATCTCTTTATTGCAGAGCTTTTGGGTCCCCCTGTATTCTCCTAGGATTGGTGCCGCTTTTTTATTGTGGGTTTGTGTTTGCTCTATTAGACTGTGAATCAATCCTGTATACTCGCAAACTACAAAGAAGCGCATGCAAATAGATACCGTATTTAGCGCAGGGACACGCACTAGATTGAGAGGCGAATTCATACATTCAGTACATATAAAAACAACTGGGACGTTATTGACTGATTTCTGTGAACCATGATTTTGTTTCATAATCTTCACGCAGTAGTTAGGAGTAGGCAGGGAGCAAGCAGATTACATGTGGAAAAGATATGACTAGAAAAAAAGAAGTCTGATAAAACTCTCCTCAAATAACATAACACATAAAGTGATCAAATTACTCCCTGATAGCCCTTGGAGTAAAAGAGATTCTGATTTTATTTGTTTGTTTATTTGTTTGTATTGCTTTAGAAAAATCGAAGTAATCTTTCAGTTGGTGGAGTCATTTTGTACAAAAGCCTAAAGAATCATAGTTTCTAGAATAAACTAGGCATTTCATTTTACATAAGTATGTCTTATATAACAAATGTACTCATATTAAAATAAGTACTGTCTTGATTGTAAATGCAGTGTAGAGAAACATTTTCAATGCAATTGGAAATATCTAATTATTGATAAAATGCCTCTAGATTTTACTATATACATTCACATGGGGGAAAAAAGTGACAAAATATTGATGTTTGGGCATTCTCAACTTGCTAGGATCTTTCCTATTGAGTATATCTGCTAATGAAAGTATTTGATTTCACATCTACCTAACGACTTGAATAAAAGAAGCACCTCCTCATTAAGGGAACAACAGACACCAAACTCTTTCAATAGACATCAGCTTTAAAAGGCATGTATTACTGTCTCCACATGTCCAGGAGCAAATCCACCAACTGTTATTCTTTCAAAGAAGACCATAAAAGGAAAATTCAACTTCCTAAGTCTTCTCAGAAGTGTCTATATTATAGAGGTGAACAGTAAAGTTTACAAATGCCAGTGGCCACCTGGGCAAGAGATGATTATGAAGAGTTAATTAAATCTCCATTTTTCTCATCCCTGATGAGAGAACACATCTCATCCCTTCCTTACTAAGGTAATTTGCTTTTGAGAATTTTTACCATTTCCTCCTATATTTGATTAGAAACTGTAATATCAATATCTGCATAGTCTCATTTTATGGTTCTAAAATAGCAAGGAAAATATACAAACTAAAATGCCTTAAAGCTAAGCAAAGAGAAGGGATGATGTTTAAAGCACAGCAAGATAAGCTTCTGACTCCTTACCCCACATTACCTCTCCCACCACTTGCCCCACCAGAGACAAGAACAGGAGAAATGATAAGCAATGGAATGACATTCAACTCTCTTGGGGGAGAGAACTTGTATTTCAATTTAGATTCTCAGGCTTGCTGAAAACTTTTATATCACCTCTACCATGGCATTCTCTCTCTTTTATATTCCATTTCCCCTCTACATCTGTATTAGTGCTACTCATATGTTACAACTTGGGAAGTCAAAAATGAATAAACCGATAAAAATAAAAGTTTAATTTTTATACACTGACCTTTTTCAATTTACTTAGTTGAAAACAAATTCTCACATTGGAATTTTTTAAAATCAGAAAGATTCAAAGCCTTATCTTTGAAAAGGTACTGCATGGGTGCTGGAGATTGGTTAGTGAAGGAAATATCACAGCTCTATTTATTGAACACATATTTAATGAGCATTCCCTCTGCAGGCAATATGTTAAGCCCCAGGGATACTATAGTGAAGAAAATTGCTAACTGTGCCCTTGTGAGGCTTAGAGTCCAATGATACAATAAAAGGGCTTTATCATTAAGAAAGATGGTATAGTGATAATGATGATGATGACAAATTTCAAACCCAAATAATAAATATTTAATAATTAAATTATAGTCATTAAAAAAAGAAAGGTAAAGGGAGACAGATTATTAGGCTCTGCTATAGCCAATTCTTATATGAAAGAAAAGAAGAGGAAGAGAGGTTAGATAAGAAAGTCATATTTGTTGTAGTAAAAGGAAACAATGCATATTTTTTTAAGCCAGAGAAAATTTTGGTGAGCCTTAACGTTAAAATATATGCATCTTCTTTTATTAATGGTGAGAAATGAAGAATAACAAATGTCTTTGTGATTATAGAGACTTTTGTATAAGTACATATGTACTACATGATACATATGATTAGCACTGCTAAATTCATGGACGGAATCAAGTATGAAGATGATGACAAAAATTAGTGGCTTTTCCCCGTTTTCCTTCCAAAGAGCATACCAAAGCAACAAGAAGAATTATAAAGAAACAAAAACCCACAAATTCTATTTTCAGTAAAATCAGGAGGTTGATAATCTGTAGTTCCTAAAACATGTATATGCAATGCCAAATCTGCTAGACTAACCAGAAGTCTCCAAAGAGAAAGCATAAAGAAGTGCAGAGAGTGGGTTCAATGATATCTAATTTTAGAATGTACCAGTAAAAATATACCACCTGATAGTGAGACTTTCACTTGGAAGTGCAAAATCTATTTCCCTTAGTAATAACAATAGATTTAGAAACTGGAATTGAGGTATAGCTGCCAAAAAAGAAGGAAAGAAAGAAATACGGCAAGTGTAGAGAGATCTCAGTCATGGTTAATCTCACACAACCTAAGAAACATATGATTCCTAAAGGTGAGTTGCTCATCTTGACTTGTGAAAACTGCATTTTTTGTTTGCAACAATCAGTTTGAGAACTGGAGTGCCCTGTAGGGCTCATGACAGAAGCCCACATGGATATGTAATGTAGGAAGTAATGGGGGAATGCACAAAGATGAGGCAAAAATTAGACAGAGGAATGACATTTGTAAAAAGCAGCCTCTTTCTGTAGCAGCAGCAAAGAGGGAAACTTTGTCAATCCTAGATGTCTACTTTTCCCTCTCCAGTAAACTAGATGAGAAAAACTTAACTCAGTTACTACGAATAATTGAAAAAAGAATGGATACAGTATCAATACAAAAATAATATGAAAAGACTTCCAGAGGAGCAGTAAAATGTACCAGTTGTTGAAGAACACACATCATAACAATGTTGCCTTGGAGAAGCTGAAAATTTGTCCCAACATTATGTCATGAATTTTCATAAAGGCACAATGAAGGGATTGGTTCTGTTAATGAAAACTACAAGGCACAAATGTGAGAATTCAGGGAAAGATGATGAGACAATAGGAGCTGGTGACACATAGCTGGCAAAACTGAGAAAAGAAGTGGAAGAAAAAATAATACCATCACAAATTAAGAATAATAATGGAAGAATTACAGTAAAATAAACACTGAGGTAAACACAGTAAAGGAAAAAAGGGGCACAAAGGAGAAAAGCTGGCAAAAAGAAATGGCATTAAAGAAAAAGGTGAACAAGATTAGAAAGAATATAAAAGACAGAAAAGATAGGCACAGGTAATCTGATAGAGACAGAATTAGAGAAGAAAAATAATGGGAAAAATAAGTATATAATATATTATTAAAGAAACATTCATGAAAGAGGACTTAAAATTTCACTTTGAAAGGAAGCAATGATTACCAGAGAAAATTGGACCAGAATCATCACAACAATATGTATCTTAGTATAGTAACTAGAATTTAAATATGAAAAAGATTCTTTGGGGCCTGCAGGCAAAACAATCAGTAACTTATAAAGCAAAATATTATGAGTGGCCTTAGAATTCTTCATTACAACTTTCAACAGTGGAATCATATCATTCAATATCAGTGGAGCAAAGTCTACAAAATACCAAAGAAAATAGAATGAGAACTAAGGTTTTGTTTTTCTCCTAGGCAAATAGTTCTCCAAGTACAATAGGTATAAACAAACAATTTTAAACATATAAGAACTCAGGGAACATTATTCTCACGAACGTGATATGTCTTTAGGAAATCACTAGAATAGAGAATGAAATTCAGCTTTCTAAGAGATAAATAGAAGAGATTTGCTGGATTGAGGACTGATTATTCATGCTAATACATTGAATGTATTTATTAATATCTGTTGACCTAAAGTGTTAGACTATGAGAATTAAAGCAACAGAATGTGACATAAACCTCATAGATGCTGACAATATAAAAATGATGTATTTAAACAAAATTTGAATGAGAAGGGCAAAGAAGATGGGATATAAAGACATTGTTTAATAGCTGAGAGTCCAAAACAATCACTTAAAGCAACAAATAAGTAGTCTAAAATTTAACCATACAAAGGTAAACTATAATAAAGATAATATTGAATAAATTATATAGTAAAGCAGAAGGCATGGAGGAATAAGAAACACTAATATTTTTATCATTGTCTATTTTAATGAACTAGCAGATACAGTCTATAAAAATACAGAAATGTAGTTAATTTAGAAATAATTACAGAAGTTTTAAAGAACAAAATAAAAACCTTTGTAAATATTAAGAATACACACATAAATAGTTTTACTCCCCTAAAAATCCTGTGTGCTCTACCTATTCATTTGAAGAATAGAAAGATGGACAAATATATACCAGGAAAATACAAAAAAAAATTAGTAGAAGTTGCAATATTCATCTGAGAAAAAAGTGGCATAAATCTAGGAATGTGTTAAACAAGATAAAGAATGATATTTTATGATGATAACAATAATAGACACCTTTCTATGGAAACAAAGCATTTATGAGCATCTATCTACTATATATCACCATCATTCCTAAACATGAATTATAAGATATTCAAGGAGATAGCATGAAGCCCACCATAAATAGGAATCTCAATACTTTAATCTGTAAGTGTCCATATTAACATAAAATAAAAAGATATTGAAGATTAAATACCATATATACTTTTTAGACCAATATCACTTAAGAGCATCATGCAAAATCCTAGTTTAAATATTAACAATCAAACCATTTTAGGACATTACTATGTCATCTCCCAGTGTGTTTATTTTTTGAAGAAGACTCATATTTTTATTTTTAAAAATCTATTAACATACTTTATCACTTCTCTCATCTATAAAATGAAAATAAAATATCAATGCCCACTTTATGGGATTTTTTTTACAACAATTAAAAGAGTTATTGTATACCAAACATTTAGCAAGAATGCCTGGCATAGAGTGAACCTTTCATAAATGTTATCTGTTGTGTTTATCAGCATTCATAAGATATTAAAAATGATGGTACTTATAAGTCTTGTTATTTTCTTTAATTATAAACTCCTTGTGTTGATTTATTAATATTGTGTTCTCAACTTTTGTCTCTTCCCCTCAGGGTTTTTATTATTGTTTTTTCAGATCCCCTGTTCTTTTGGTATTATTATTAATAGCCTACTAAGAATTAAAATCAATTTATAGATTCAGAGTATACTTAAGACTAACCACTCATTTAAAAATAATTTCAAATTATACTAGTAATTAATGTATGAGTGCATTCTCCCTTTTTATAATTAGACTTCATTTTTAGGGCAGTTTTAGGTTTATAGAAAAACTGAGCAGAAGGTACAGAGTTGCCACACACCCCCACTCCCACACATGCACAGCCACCCTCATAATCAACATCTCTCACCAGAGTGCTACATATTTGTATAATTGATGAACCTACATTGATAGATTATTATCACCCAATGTCTACAGTTTACTTTAGGGTTCACTCCTGATGTAAATTCTATGAGTTTTGACAAATGTGTAATGACATGTATCCGTTATTATATTGTGCCAAATAGTTTCACTCCCCTAAAAATCCTCTATGCTCTACTCATCCCTCTCTCTGCACAATCCCTGACAGCCATTGATATTTTTGCCATCTCTGTAGTTTTACCTTTTCCAGAATGTCATATAGTTAGAATCAAGTTGCCTTTTCAGACTGTTTCCTTTATTTAGTCATATTCATGTAAGTTTCCTCCATGTCTTCTCATGGCTTGATCGCTCATTCTTTAACAGTAAATATGGAACCATCTAGGGAGAGAAGATAGGCAGAGAAGAGGTAGAACACTCTGACATGTAAAGTCTGGAAGGGAAGGAGAAAAAAAAACCCTGATGAGTTAGAAGAAAAAACAGAAATGTGTAGGATCTCAGAACCACAGGAAATAGTGTTTTATAAGGAAAGAATAGCCAAAAATGTCAAATAGTGCTGACAGTTGAAGAACTATAGACTATGATTATATATGTTACTTCTTTCCAAGATTTTTACTGTGAAAGGGAATTAAAAAATAGGATTGTAGACGAACTTGGGATCGAGAGAGTTCTTGTTTGCTTGTTTTCCTAGAGATGAGCTATGATGAGACACTCTTGTACATCATGAGGAATGGTATGACAGCCAGCCATAAATTCATTATGTGACAAACAAGGGTGATAATTATCAAAGTCATTGAGGAGTCTGAGGTGTTGGAAGTGGAGGGCTTGGCCTCAGAGAGGACCAGAAGGGTTTCTGCCATTGCAGAGGGGGGACAGGGGGGACAATATGTGGAACAGAAAGGGTAGGAGGTGAATTTGTAGAAAGATGGGGTAACTATTTGATTACATCAATTTTTTAAAATGAAGCATGTGAAGAAAGCATCATCACACAGCTGCTTATTTCCTCCAGAGTGAATGATCCAGTAGAGAGCAAGAAACAGGATAGCAAGAGGGAAGTTGCAGTCTTTTTGCTCCAAATTTTCTGAGCAGACATCCTCTTTTTTTTCCTATATTCTTTTTGTTAGAAGCAAGTTAAGGTTCACTAGGTTTAGCCAACATCCCAAGGGAGAGATCATACAAAGACATAAATACCAGGAGCTGGAGATCATCAGAAGAGATTTTAGAGAATGCTTACTATATTTGCTTAAAGTAAGGCTGCAGGAGTTAGTTAGTGGGGGTTGGAGAATAATGGAAAAGTTTGAAACAGTACTCTACAAAGAAGAAATGTGGAAACTTCAGTAAATGTTAACGTCTATTTGGTAAATAGTAAATGTAACGTCTAATATCCGACGTCTATTTGGATTTGGGTGCATGAATGCAACTTTAGTGCCATTTGGTCAGAGTAGCTTACTGTCCTTAGGATTGCTCTGAGAAGAATAGCTGGGATGGTGGTTGGGTGTTTGCAACACAGGAGATACCCAAGTATTCGTGGGTTTCATTTCTTTGAGATTAATTTGGGATGAAGAGTAAATCCTTTCTCTTTTTGCTAGGGTTTATTTTTTGGGGGAGGGCATGGACTAGGTAGAGAATCTTGAAATAAGAAAAGGTACCTTAAATTAGACTATTGCATTTAAACAAGGAGAACATGGTAAAACATTTTATATCTTGCTATCTGTTAAGTTTGTCAGTGGCCTCTTAAAAATGAAAATTTTCAGAATGCATTTGTATAAAGAACATTTTTAGTGCTACTCTGGGGTAATACACAACTTAGGGTAAAAATCTACAACACACACATGTGTGTGCATGCACACACGGAGAGATTGTTTCTTGTACAAGCTCTTCTCTTTTTCCTTGCAGTATCAGAAACCTCCAAATTTAAGTCCAATGTATGGCCACCCAGCTATAGGCTACATTTTCTGACCTCCCTTAGATTAGATAAAGCTATGTGCTACATTCTGGCTCATGGAATGTGAAGGAAGTTTTGTGTGTAAACTTATAAGAGCTCACAACCTATAAAGAGAAACCTTTTCACCACTGGTGATGGTTAGTTTTATGTGTCAATTTGACCACAGGATGCCCAGACATTTGGTCAAATGCTATTTGGAATTTGTCTGTGATGGCATTTCTATACAAGTTTAGCATTTGAATTGGAGGACCGAGTAAAGCAAAATAGGCTTCTCTAGTATAGTCAATCTCCAGCCAATCAATTGAAGGCCTGAAGGGAACAACTTAAAGGGCCATCCTAAGATCAAAGAAAGATTGTACCTGGCTGCTTGAGCTGGAGAATCAGTCTTCTCCTGCACTTAGACTGAAATTTATTTTGCCATTCTGGTTCTCAGGCCTTTGGACACATACTAGGACTACACCATCAACTCTCCTTGATCTCTAGCTTGCTGAGTGAAGATCTCAGGACTTCTCAACCTCCATGATTGCATAAACCAATTCCTTATAGTAAGTCTCTTTCTATATGCATATATGTTTATGTTTGTGCATGCATGTGTGTGTGTTTGTGTTTATGTTCTTGTAAGAGTTTCTACTAGACCTCCTACTAAGTTTTATCTGCTGAACCCAGACTAACACAGATTTTGATACCAGAAGTGACGTGCTGCTGTAACAAATATTTAAAAATGTGAAAGTAGCTTTGAAACTGGGTAATGGGTCCCAGTTCCACAGTAATGTCCATATTTCTGGCATGAATTTGAATTAGAGGACTGAGTAAAGCAGTCTATGAAAGCAGTCCATATTTCTGCATGAAATGTGAACATTAAGGGTGATTCTGGTGAGGTTTCAGAGGGAAATGTGGAACATATTATTGGAAACTCAAGGAAAGATGATCCTTCCTGTATGTGTCAAAGAATATGGCTGAAATGTGTTCTAGTTTTTGTGGAAAGTAGAACTTGCAAGGAATAAAACTAGATATTTAGCTGAGGAGATTTCTAAGAAAAGCGTTGAAGGAGCAGCTTGGTTCCTCCTGGCTGCTTATAGTAAAGTGCAAGAAAGATATGGTTTAAGAAGAAATTGTTAAGCAAAAAGGAACCAAAAGGTAAAGATTTAACAATCTCTCAGCCTGCCCATATTGCAAAAAATGAGGAGACATGTTCAGAAGAAAACACCCACGGGTAGGGCTATACTCTCACTCAATAAATAACTCATAGGATTATGTGATCTGAACCACTGATAGCTTGAATCAAAGTGGGTAGAGACAGGATGAAATGAAGAAAGGCTTTCATATGTCTTAGATACTACATGATGGGACCATGTAGCCATTCATATTTGAACATATACTATACCTCAAGAAAAGAGGGAAGAAGGATTCTGAAGCCAATTCAGAAATCATCAGGACCAATACCTCAATTTCAACAGGCCAGACAGCCTCTGACCAAAGCCTTGGGGGCAGGATGCCCTGCTCTCCATAGGAGGGGATTGCCCTATGGAGCTGTGGGGACAAGGCTTCCCAGAGCCCTGGGGGCATGACCCCTTCATGGAAGAGCCATGGAAGTGGGACCACAGCCTCAGGAGGTCCTGAAGGCAGGACTATCCCAGTAAATCTGGCAAGTAGAGCATCAAATCAAAGAAATTATTCTCAAACCTTAAAATCAGATGGAATTTGCCTTGCTCAGTTTTGGACTTGCCTGGAACTCATTACCTTTTTCTTCATTCCTATTTCTCCCTTTTGGAATGGAAATTTATATCCTATGCATCCCACTGTTGTATTTTGGAAGCAGATAATTTGTCTGAATTCACAGATTCACATCATGAATTTTACCTCAAGTCTCACCCATATCTGATTTAGATGATATTTATAGATGAGAGTTTAGACTTCACAGTTGATGTTGAAATGAGTTAAGACTTATGGGGCTTTGGGAATGGAATGATTATATTTCATATGTGAGAAGTACACAGATTTGGGGGCCAGTGGGAGTAGGCTATAGAATGAATTGTGTCCTCCCCAAATTCATATGATGAAGTCCAATGTGATGCTCTTTGAAGATGGAGCTTTTAGAAGATAAATTGGTTTATATGCGGTCATGAAAGTGGTACCTTCCTGATGGGAGTAGTGCCCTAATAAGAAGAGATACCATAGAATTTACTTGCTCCCCTTTTCCCCTTTTTCTCCCTCCCCCTGAAAGGTGAGGATACAGTGAGAAGGAGTCTACCTGCAAGTCAGGAAGAGAACCCTCAACAGAACCTGAGCATGTTGGCACCCTGATTTCAGACTTCTAGTCTTCAGAACTGTGGGAGAATACATTTCTATTGTTTAAGCCACCCAGTCTGTAGTATTTTGTTATGGTAGCCTGAGAGACTGACACCATCCACTTCTTTTTCCATCCTCAGCTCATACTAAAATACAAATTTTATAGTGTGGAATAGTTGTAATCATGTAGGTAGAAGCATTAACCTAGGTCATAGTAAAATAGCAAGGTAGATGGAATCTGCGTTCCTGCATGACCTCATAAAGCAGGATTACTCAGTAGCCCTCCACCTGAGGCTGTTACATGAAAGAGGGTAATAAGCTTTCAGTTCTGCTTGAAGAACTGTATTGTTTAGTCTCTTAGCTAAAGTAGTATTTAATTAAGGTACACTATCTACTATATAATTATTATTTATTGCAATAAATGTAATTCAGAATTTGGATAAATCATTGCATTATCCTTCTACTACCATTTAAATAGTGATAACAATATAGCTTATGTATATTTTAGCTTTTTCTTAAGTTTATGAATCTTGTACCTAGAGAGGATTTTCAATGGTAGATTATTGGTGAGATTATTGGTGAGAGATTTAAGGCTAGATTTGGTGCACCCCTGGAGCTTGCTGTTCAATATTAGAAAATCGCGCCTTTTCAAATTGCATGCAATTAGAAATAATAAAAAATTGAAAGTATTACTTTCAGAAGTAACATTCTAAAATATGATTTGTGGATGTATTGCTGATGAGAATTTGGTTTCTCTGAAATTGTATTAAGAACACTAAAATGTGACTAGTGGATTTATGACCTAATTAATTGTTATGTGCCAACAATAGAACTGTGGTGCTTAAATGGGATATAAATATTTTAAAAAAGAACAACAGCATGAATTTGTTTGTTTTCCCTACAGTCCTGCAGAGAGGTAGGTCACAATGCCACCTGGAATAGGCAAAATATACCAAGCATTATTGGGTAAGTTTATTATCAGAGGGACAATAAAATGGATCATGTAGTTCACCATACTCTTTTTTTTCCCTTGGAGAAGTATGCAGGGGTTAAGGCACAATATGAAAATGTAAAGGACACTATGGTCCAGGAAATGGGCCCTGTCACCTTCTTACTCCAATTTTTTACAGGACTATGGCGAGATTGCCTTTGAGAATGTTTATAAAAGGATGGAGAAGTAGTCAGATTAGGTGCCAGCTGCTCAGGAGGAGGTTTCATCCCAAAACTTGGAACGCTGTTTACTCAAAAGAGTTGTTTATATAGCAATGGCAGCACCCGGAGGCCTGGGGAACCGCCACCTTTGCAGTCCATTCCACTAGAATGAGGGGGAGTCGCAGCTTCCAGCTAGTTCATTGACAGGACACTCATAGATATCTCTGTTCTGATTTTATGTTTGTGCAATAAATATTTGTCTCCACAATTGCCTAGAATAAAGGGTATAGGGCTTTTCAGGGCTTTAGACTATCATAACTTGAGAACAAAGCTGCTTTTGGTTATCTCTCTTCAGTCTGATTCTTAAGCACAGCAAGCAGTGTTCTGATATTGCCACTTGTCTTATTCCTCAATAAAGTACTCCAATTCCGGAACCTGTGTTTTTGTTATAAAACGAGTACTTGGAATTCAGGCTTCTCAGTCAGTGTTTTATACTTTGGAGAGCTTGGAATGGCTCCCTTTTGTTTTTTCATAAATGAGATCACATTATATATACTTTACTTCCACCTTCTTTATTTATGTATCCATTCTGCATCCTTTCAGATTAGTAAGCACAGGTCCATATTATTCTTTAGTGAATATAAAGAATTCCATTGATTATACAATATCTTTTAAGCATATCTTCTATTAGTAGGCATTTAGGTTGTTTTAGTCTTTGGTTGTAAAATGACATGTCATTGGGAATTTTTGAAACTACAATCTTGTTATATCTTTTCTTTTCTTAGGGAAATTTATATTATATATGTTTTAAATTTTTTTTATTTCAGCATGTTGCAGGGGTACAAATGTTTAGGTTACATATATTACCCCACCAGAGTCAGAGCTTCAAGAGTGTCCATCCCCCAGACAGTGTACACCACACCCATTAGGTGTATATATACCCATCCCCCACTTCCCCCTCCCATCTGCCTGACACTGGATGAATGTTACTACTATATGTGCATTTAAGTGTTGATAAGTTCATACCAATTTGATGGTGAGTACATGTGGTCCTTCTTTTTCCATTCTTGTGATACGTCACCTAGTAGAATAGGTTCCAGCTCTATCCAGGATAATACAAGAGGCATTATATCACCATTGTTTTTTGTGGCTGTTGTAATATGTTTTGTTTAATATGTCAGTTTTATTTAAATTCTGTCATCTAAGTTTATGCTGTATTTCTTTTAGTACTATTTATTTTATTTACTTACTTTTACCGTAGGGTCTATATTTTTTTTGTTTTATTTTCTGTCTTTTATTTTCTTTATGGGAGGTGTTTTTTGTATTAACAATGCTTATAATGTTAAGCAAGAATAAAGTGGACAGTTTTTTTGAATTTAGCTATGTAAGATGGCATCTGTTGATTCTACATTCTGAAATATGCATACATTGGTATGTGTATACATGTACTTTTCAACTTCTATCTTTCAAATACCAGAATTTTGTTAGGTAAAAACTAAGGAAAGTTGAGTGGACTATGGAATTTAGATGATAATAATATGTTCATATTGGTTCATTATTTGTAACAAATGTGTTATACTAATTTAGAATGTTAATAATGGAGAAAACTGAGTGTATGATAATTTGAAACTCTCTGTACTATTTTATCAATTCCTTTTGCAAATTTAGGCTGTTCTGGTGGAGAGAGTTTTATAATTTTCTTTCATATTCTATAATAAAATTATATAATTTTGTCAACTTTTGTGTTGTTTATGCTTTAAAATTCTACTGCCTTTTATACCTTAGCTCTTCAAAGGAGTCTTGTTGGTCCAGGTGGGATGTGAGGAATGCTGACATTAAGGAAGAAAATTCAAAAGAAATGAAGGATACCAAGAGTACACAACTCTGCTAAACCTAGCTAGGATTGGCAGAAAAACATGGATAGAAATAACTCTTCTCCCGTGATGAAGTCAGGTTTATGCATAAAAGGATTAAAGCGTTATTATACCAGACACTTGCTGAATCATATCACTTATATAATTGAAATCAACAGAGAATTTGTATCCAAGAGTGAAAAATTTATTCCATTTCTAAATCTTTACAGAATAAGGAGTTGCTGTGTAAAGTAAAACAATCTATCTATGGAAAGTGGCAGAAGCTTTTAAATGATTTTTCAGGGTTTCTCTGGTGGAAAATGAAAGGTAAAGATAATTGTACTGACCAAAAATAAATAAATAAATAAAGATTGGGAAAGATTAAGTGACATTGAACCAAGTAATGATGCCAACTGCTAAACTCTATTTTTAGAATCCATTAGAGGAAACTTTGAAGATTTGATTATATTAAATTATGAGAGAGAAAGGGGCTTTGGGGCCAATGAAAAAACTATGAAAATGATTGATTTCTTATACTATAGTTTAAACCTACCTAACAGAGCAATGGGATTCAAGACAAAAATTTAACCTCTGGATTACACTTGAAATATTTTCTATACACATGCATATGTATAAGTGACTGCAAAGTGGCCCTGCAAAAGACAAAAGAAATAACCTCCATAAATGAGTATCAGATTCTCTTCAAAACAATATATAATCCTATGTAGAAGCCCTCAGCCCATTCCACACACCAGAAAATCCCTCTTGATTCAGGGCTATGAACCTGATGAAGCCTCAATCAAATAATTGAATAATTAAACTTTCACGGTTAAATTTTAACAACCCTGAATGTCTCCATGATTTTCCAGAGGAAGAGTGACCAATGACTACTTTTTCTCAACAATTCTTCTGTCTCTTTCTACTTGACTACCTCCATTACTTTTTGGCCATAAAAAAATATGTCAGTTATCATTTTAAAAAATTCTCTTGAAATTGAATATCAGTACAAATGTAGTGAGCAATAATCATTAAAACTAGTTTAAGAAAAATAAAATATCACTGATTGCTTTATTTGATAATAGTATTCTCTTTATTTCTTATTTTCTATTTTCTATTTCATATACTTAGCGTTCTGTCTTACATTATTTTTTAAAATATATTTTAATAGTTTCATAAGATTACTCATGGATTTGAATCTCTTGAGCTTTTAATTTGGCCTCCATAAAGAAATTCTTGATTTCTTCAATCAATGATTCTTCTACTAGTTACAAAATTCTGACCAAGTCTGATTTTGTTTATTTGGATCTTTTCTTTACTTGGTCAGTTTACCTAGTAATTTATCAATTTTGTTTATCTTTTAGAAGAACCAGTTTTTCATTGTGTTGATCATTTGTAATTTTTTCAATCAGTCTCTATTTTATTTAGTTTCACTATGATCTTTGTTATTTATTTTCTTCTGCTAACTTAGGATTTGATTTGTTCTTGTTTTTCTAATTCCTTGAGGTGTAATCTTAGTTTATTAATTTGTGATAATTCTACTTTTTATTTAACAGATGTATGTGTTTAACACTATAAACTTTTCTCTTAGTAATATTTTTCTGTGTCCTAGAGTTGTGGTATGCTGTGTTTCCATTTTAATTCATTAAAAAAATTTAATTTCTTTGTTGGCCCAAATACTGTTCAGGAGCATGTTTAATTTCCATGTATTTGTATAGTATCTGAAGTTCTTCTTGGTCTTAATTTCTAGTTTTATTCCACTGTGGTCTGTGAAGATACTTGATATGATTTCAATTTTTAAAAATTTGTTGAGACTTGTTTTGTGACCCAACATTTGGCCAGTCTTGGAGAATGTTCCATGTGGTGATGAGGGATATGTTTTCTGAAGTTGTGGAGTAGAATGTTCTATAAATGCCTGCTAGGTTCATTTGGTTTAAAGTCTAATTTAAGTCTCATTTTTTGTTGTTGATTTTCTGTCTTAATGATCTGTCTAGTGCTGTAAGTGGGGTGTTGAAGTCCCCACTATTATTATATTGCTATTTATCTCTTTATTTGGTCTAGTAATATTTGTTTTATGAATCTGAAAACTCCAGTGTTGGGTGCATATATATTTGAGATTGTAACATCCTCTTTTGGAATTGATTCCTTTATTATTATATAATTACTATTTTGTCTTTTTTTGGACCATTTTTGATTTAAAGTCAGTTTTATCTGATATAAGTATAGCTACTCCTGTTTGATTTTGATTTCCATTTTCATGAAATATCTTTGTCTATAGATTTAATTTCAATCTATATGTTTCTCTACAGATAAGGCAAATTTCTTGTAAGTAGCATCAGAAATGAAAGAGGAGACATTACAACTGATACCACAGAAATAAAAAAGATTATCAAAATGACTATTATGATTAACTACACACTCAGAAACTGAAAAAACCTAAAGAAAATGGATAAATTTCTGGAAACATGCACCCCTCTAGATTGAACCAGGAAAAAAATAGAAATCCTGAACCAATAATGACTATTGAGATTGAATCAGTAATAAAAAATCTCCCAGCAAAAGAAAAAGCCCAGGACCAGATGGATTCACAGCTGAATTGTACTAAACATACTAAGGAGAACTAATACAAATTCTCCTGAAACTGTTTCAAAAAACTGAGGAGGAGGGAACTTCCCCAACTCATTTTACAAGGCCAGTATCACTCAGATACAAAAATCAGACAAGGATATAATAAAAAAGAAAACTACACACCAATATGCAGAAAACTAGACACTGATATTCCTGATGAGCATAGGCACAAAAATCTTCAACAACATACTAGCAAACTGAATCCAACAGCACATCAAAAAAATAATATACCATGATCAAGTGGGTTTTATGCCAGGGATGCAAGGATGGTTCAACATACACAAATCAACAAATGACACATCACATACAGAATTAAGGACAAAAACCATATTATCA